AAGCTTTAATAAAGACATTATTTAAGGCCATGTGTTTTCGGTATTCTTTTTCGGCACGCCGGAGGCCAGGCAGGTCACCCCGTATTTTGGGTGGATTGTAGTCTCGGTGTCACACCGGTACATCATTTTCCTGTGTCGAGAGGGGCAAAAATCGTCGGGCCGCAGACCCACCCGAGAGCTTCCCTAAGAAAATGATAAAGTGATTACGGACCTGGGTCGGGCCGCAGGTCCGACCAAACGCCGCCGGCATAGGCCAAGAGGGCCCGTCCCCTGCCGAACGGAGCTGCCAGCGGATCGAAGTGAAGGGCGGGCCTGCTTGTTTTTCAGACTACAACTACTGGAAAAACAAAGGTGCTACACAACACATTTTAAATGTGCTACTGCACTTGTGCCTCAGCAAGAAAGCAGTAAAATTGCTGAAAATATAGCACCTTGGGGAGTCAGTAGCACCTTTGTAGAGGCACTTTTTCACTATAGCTCCCTTAAAAGTCATTAGGAGGTAAAACCTTTGTTTTTCCAGTGACAGCGTAATTTTGTGAAGACCATGCCAACTCAGAGAAAATGTCGCTGTAACTGCCTGCGCCCGACACCTCTCGCGCTCACGGAGGGGTCGATGTGACCTCCAGAAGGTCACGCCGCAAGCAGTACAAACATGCCGGGCGTCGGCCCGGTCCGGCGCCTCCGCCAGCGAAACCTGTGTGGCCTCCTCCAAGCATTTGGCAGTCAAAGAAGCCCCAATATAAAGTCGGGTGACATTCAGAGTGGAAAAACACCACAGCATGTTGTTGCATGGCGTTCTGAGAGCAGGGCTACAGGGTGCGCGTAGGCGTATGAAGATAATGCCCCCTGGTAGGCAGGCAACTTGCATTCGAGTCGTTTGCCCCCCCCCCCCCCCGAAAACTAGACCTGTCGACGCCTCTGAGGGAGGGAGGGAGGGAGGGAGGGAGGGAGGGAGGGGCGATGTGTTCTTCTGACAAAGTGTTCATCATTGTAAAACTTTCGTGCCTGGAAAAGCCTTTAAGTGGCGAGTGTGAATGTCCGCTTTAGGGGCCTTCGCCCACTCAGACGTTTGAAGGACGACGGTTTTATGTTACGGATGGAAATCTAGTCCTTGGGTCACCGCTGTAGCCTGCTCTGCTCGAGGACTTCCATTTTCGTACGTTCCAGGACGGCAATGGTGCCAATTTTGTGGGGAAAGACGAAAAACTCTTATTAAAAAGGCGTCTGTTTCAACTTTTATCATATGGGACATCACTCGAACGGTGCACCGTGATACAGTACTTCACATTTTGATCTGTTCGGAGGAGTCCTGAGCTTCGAGCTTCATGTTTTTGTTCACATCGACGGACCAATTCAGTGGCCCAATTTTCGGGTCGAGTGAAGACCGCAAATCTGTAACCTATTATTAGCATAATTTTGGACTCTTTAAAGACTAAATTTTGGGATTTTATCAAATTTTGACAATTAAAGGGGCAAAACTCGGGAAACCTTGGCTGGAGACACCCACAAGAAAATGGCGAGAAAGTCAACAATCGGCATTCTCTGAAAGAATACTTAAATAATGGATTCCTTTTTTTGGCATGCCATTTTTTTTTGCAAGAAGTGAAAAATTAAAGTGTGTTAGCATGATTCATGAAGTCATGATACGCAGAAAAGGTCTCCCTATCGCGATGGAGCCGGCAACGTTGAGCGAGTCAGAGAGTCACCACGGAGGCGATACCCCGCGAGCGCAGGGTATGCACGGCGCAGGGAGTAGCGCCTCTTTGGTGCGCGGAGGCGCTGCGAGGAGCGCCTGCAGTGGGGAGGGTCGGCAGCCCGCCCGTCAGCGACGTGGCCAGGCTGCCTAACCACCCCGCCCCTCCGCGCCCCGTCCGGCCCAACTCCACCCTAGGGTGCGAGGCAGAAGGTGTTGCAGTTGCGGAAGGGTTGGAAAATTTAGCACCTCTGAAAACGCACCAAAATGCAGAATATAACAATGTGAATTTTTTTTTTCTGATAAAAATCCGGGTATTGGCGAGTATCCGCTGGTATTTGGCGAGTCCATTGCGAGTAATTTTCCTCGAGTACAACGATTTGGCGAGTAGGGGACCTCTCGGCAAAGGCCGGCCAAAGTTTAGTGAAACTTTCACAGGGTTACTATACTAAATCGACCCCTCTGTTGCTGCTTCTCTTTCCAGTATGGCGATGTTCCAAGCTTATTTTTTGTCGCAATCCGTTTGGGAAGATCGTTTTCGCGATTATACCGTGTACACAGACGGCGTTCGCTTTGATCTCTTTCCACTGTCCATGTGGGCTTGCTGCACAGGTACGGTTGCGGATGGCACGCACATGACCGTGACCACCAGGGCCGGGAAGCACCAGGAGGTGGGGGAGGGGAGGGGAGTAAAAGGAAGAACTTCCACTTCCACCGCTATCGGGACTAATGAAATGTTTTGACAGCCAGCATATAGCAGTGAGCATCCCCCCAGCGTCCGTCCTTCCCGTGGAGAGAGCGACCCTGACACTGACAAGCGGGCCCCGGAGGCCGCTCACGGGCACCGCTCCGCCCCCCATGGACCAGCGCGTGCTGGGCATGCATGCACTCCCCGACACACTCTGACACAAGCTGGCCAACACTGACACACACTGACACAAATAACTGACGCACACTGACCCAGGCTGACAGTGAAGGTGCTTTACACTGACCTTCTGACGGAGGAGATGGCGACCTTGGCGTCGAGCAGGCTGCAGCCGCTGAGCGAGGAGAAGCGGACGGGCAGGGGCACGGGGTCCAGGGCGTCCTCGTCGAGCGAGGCCGGGCGGCCGCCGCGGAGGAAGGCGGCGCGGGGGACGAGGCCGTGGGGGCCGTGGCCCGCGCCGAGGGGCCCGCCGCCGCCGATGCTGTACGCGACGGAGCCGCGCGGGCTGAGGCCGGCGCCCGCCCCCGGGGGGCCCCACGCCCCCGCCGGCCCCACGGGCGCGGACAGCGCGCCCAGGCTGCGGCGGGGCACGCGGCCCGTCACCACGGTCTGCATGTAGATGGCCGCGGCCACGGCCTCCTGCTGGTCCTCCTCCTCCACCACGGCCTTGGCCGCCGCCAGCCGCACCTCCTTGATGGCCGTCTTGCGCGGCCGGCAGCGGCTCTTGTACAGCACCAGCAGCACCATCATGCCGAAGAAGCCGCCCAGCGTGGCCGCGATGCGCACCTGTAGGCAGAGAGATTAGCGTAAGGAAGGGCCTTGAGCGACCCGACACCGCCGCCGCCGCCGTCCCCTCGAGGGCGCCACTTGAAATTTCCATATCTCTTCAAGGGGATGATGATGTTGATGATGCCGGCGTTTGTGAAGAGCCCCCCATTTGCGCGGCTCCTAACGACACCGCCAACTACTGGGGGGCGCCCGCCCCTTGGCCTCGCCTGGAGGCGCGGTCGCGGGCCGCTCGGGAGAGCCCGCGGGAGAGCCGGGCGAGGGGAGAGCGCGCGGGAGGGCGGCGGTGAAGGTTACTGGGTCGCAGGAGGCCGCGTCGAGCCGTGCGCGCTCGCGCTCTCCAGAGCAGCAGGCTCGTTGCGACCCGGCAGTCCAAAGGGCTCTCCAGCAAGGCTCTCCAGCAGGGCTCTCTAGGCTCTCCACAGCACCACCCCTCCCCCCCCCCTCCGGCCACTCACCGCGCAGCGCGCTCGCAGCGGGGCCCAGCAGCCGAACGGTCCCTTATTTAAGTAGAGTCCTGCGCCGCCGCGAGTCTCTTATCGGCCGCCAACATCGCCATTGATGTTTGGCGCTCGGCGACGGCAGAGGTGGAGGTGCGGGTGGTGCGGGCGTGCCCCCTGCCCTTGCCATGCTCCCCTCATCGACGCGAAACTCCGTCGCGGAGGGGGTGGAATGTCTGCGTTTCAGCGCGGTAATTGGCTATCATAGCGCATTTATTGTTTGTGTAGTTGAGCCCAGACCCGTGATGCTGCAAGCCCCACCCCTCCCCGAGACAGCGGTGTAGAGTACATACCGAATCGTGGAAAGAGAGCAAATACCGAGAGAATTCAAATGGAGCCTCGCCTGTCTGTGAATTTGACTTGACTTGACTAACCACGAGGCCTCCTTTGGCCCAAGGTTTTCGGTCCGGCCGGAGCCGTCCGATTACTAGGCTGTTCCGCCGGGGCACGATGCCGAGCATACATGCTGATCCCGGTTTCCGGTTAAACCCAGTGTCCTCAAAGATGGCAGCTAAGTGGGTTCCCGAACCCTTGACAACCCCGAACATTCACGGCGGGGGTTAGCCACCATGTACGATCTGGTTCCACAGTCTGTGAATTTGGCAAGGGGCAAATGTCGTTTTCGACCGGTCCAGGATTAGTCGGATTAGTCAGGATTGGTCGCTAGATACCCCCGGATGACACGGGACACACTATTATTGTCCTCGGCGGTTCCCCAGCACGTCGTATGGCAAGTCCGAGAAGTGGTAGAAAACCTAGAAAACGAAGGTCGTGGAACTCACCCCGGTCATCATGTCGTAGGTGCGGAAGAACTCGACGCGCAGCTGCTCCCGCAGCTCGGGGCTCATGGTCGTGGTGGAGGTGGTGCCGTTGACCTGCGCCAGCGCCGTCCTCGGCTCCACCGAGCTGGCCGCGTCAGCCGACATTGCCTATGGCAAAACAATAAGCCGCGATTAGACAAAAAGCGGACAAAAGTCGGGAAAATAAAAGGTGTTGGTTATAACCAACCTTGAACCCATAGATACAAGTCGGAATAATATAAGCTGTTGGTAAGGTACAAGTCGTTATCTCCAAGTGTCTCCGCAAAGATATGCCATGTCCCGTCCATGGCCATCCGACAGTAGATTAAAGACGGAAAGCCTCCCCCTTCCCACGGCCGCAGTCTCCTGTTACGCCCCCAC